AGCAAACCTCAAAGACACATTATTGTAGGCACGACTGAACACCGTTTGTACGAGCCCCAACCCCCTCCAGATGGCATTGCTGGCTGCAACAGCCACCCGGAGTGCCGCACGGGATACAGTCCCTCCAACTTGTGTCTGTCAACTTGCGCCAACAACCACTACTTAACTGTAGGTGTGTCGAAGTGCGATACGTTGACAACTTGATTTTTCCCCAAATAAAATATTAAGAAAGGTGGCGTGGGTGTCAGACACCAACTCTATCAATAGGCACGTCGATTTACCCGCGTGTTATCACGCATTCCGCCCACGCAGCCAGTTGGCGCAGATCACATCGTCGTGAAGTACAAACGGTGTCACCACGCCGGGGTACCATTATGGAACAGGCGGCACAAACCAGACCTAGTCATTGACGTAGTCCCTCCTCGCACGGAACAAGGATATAAGTGCTCACACGTTGCGCACTCTAGTAGTCTCTGATGTTGAACTCCAGTTAGAGTTCGAAAGCTCAGGCCAATAAATCTACCGTCCCAGTGATCGTGCCTTCGTCTTCTTTTAAAGAAAGGTAGAATTCGTTTGGCAATCCTTACTTAAGGAGAGAGATAGAGAGTAGACGAGGCTTAACAGACAGTAGCAGCAACTGTTCTCATAAGTCATCGGCTGGCCGTTTGGGTTGTTAACCCCGACGCGAAGTGCATGTGTGTCAGGCCGCAAGAATTGAGGACTAGCCTTTTTGTTCAAACAGGTAGTGGTGATTGCACCGAGTTTCCGAGGACGAGTGTGTACGAATGGTGTTTTCGTTCTAATGCAAGTAGCTGTGGCTTGGAAAGCTGCTGACTGACGCCCCAACTTAGTCCACGAAGTCTGCCCAGTTGTGTGAGTCTGTGTGGAGTGACGGACTGGTGGGGCTTAGAGTCAGGCTGAAGCGGCTCCTTCTTAACGTGACCTACGGCACTCTCACGCATGTGAGATGCACGCCGTTCACTCCCCGTTGCGTGAAGTCCTGCTGCTTGTGTTTGGGTGTCAGATCGTGCATGTGGCGCGCGCAGACAGGGTCCCTAGATATGTCAGCCACCACACCCATTCCCCGCACCTGTCTAATGACCAGTTGGGACGGTGACTGGGGTCTGAGAATAGGAAGGGAGAGTGAGCTCAACGACTCAGCGCATTCTCCTCACGACAAACAATCTGACACGCTTTAAGCTACCACGGTGCACTAAAAGCCGTGGCTTGGAAGGCCGCCAACTAACGGGATAACTTGGACCTAGCAGTCGACTCAGTGTTGTATGTTTGTGTAGAGCGGCCGGCTGGTGGTCTAAGAGTCAGGCTGCAATGGCTCCTTCTTAATGTCGCCTCTATGCCACTCCCACTGCGTGGGATCCGAACCAGGTGTGACGGCACGCCTTGGTGCGGCTCCAGCCATGCCAGTCACCCTTTCGTTGCTGGTAAAAACCTGGTCATTTGCAGTGCGGACCAGGGGGTGTGGGGTGGAGCACCAAGGTGCGGGTTCGACCGCGCCATCCACCTGCAACCTCCGCCCGTCTCCGGTTTTCTTGACTCTGTCTTTACACCAGGTCCAGGTGGGGAGGAGAGTGCGGTAGACGCTGTGCAAGTCTGCATTCACTATAAACTAAAACACACGCAAGTCACCGTCCCTCCTCTCACCTTGCTGCAGGGTTTACAGTGGACATCATCGGCAACGACGGTCGAACTGTCGTAGGGAAGTTTGGTCCTTCCCCTCCCCCCTCGCAGTCTTCAGCTCCACCTTCCCCTGTTCACGGCCGTAAGTACACTTGGAACCCCCCCTGTGAGTACGTGGTTATTGAGTAATGAAAGTATCCTATTGTGTAAACCAATACGCGGTTATTAGATTTACCATTACTTGTAGTGGATTATCTTACCGTTGGATGTTTGATTTGGCGAACGAGGCCTTACTGTGTCTGTCCCAAAAGAAGAAGAAGAAGAAGAAGAAGAAGAAGAAGAAGAAGAAGAAGAAGAAGAAGAAGAAGAAGAAGAAGAAGAAGAAGAAGAAGAAGAAGAAGAAGAAGAAGAAGAAGGGAATACGTCAGGAGACGGTGTGATGAGTCCGAACACTGATTACAAAACAGGCAATGTAAAACAATTTTAGTCGTCAGGCCTTTCAACTGCTACACATGTGCTCCTGAGCTTTATCTTACTGTTGCGAAACCATGGAAGCAAAAATATCAATCGGCGTCTCGCCGTCGGCCAATAGATCTCTTAAACTGGTGGCTACCAAGGCTGCCCACAAGAACTGGACCAATGGAAATTTCATAGACATGGTCAACCCGAAGTGTGCAATAGATTATCCGTCCGACTCACCCTGTCTGAGCGTTTCGAAGGGCCGTTTTAATCGAGCCGGGGGTGTGCGAGTAAAGGTCTAATTATTTCCATCTAGGGCAGTTATTACTCTCCTTCCGCGTGCACTATCAAAAAATTCCGCAGAAAAAGCTTCAAGAGACTTTTTCTAGCCACTCACGCGATAGGGCTGTTTCAGAGAAACTCAAATTTCTTTGGCAGCCTCGAGGATAGTCAATCACAGGCGCCCACAAACTCCACTATCACCCAATCAACTGACCGAGCTGACACTGACTGACTCTCACCTGACGCTTATTCACTCACGCCCACGTCACCCTAGCTCACTGACGTGTGCGAGCCTACAGTCAGTCTCGTGTCGGGAGCTATGAGAGCCACCAGGTTTCTGTACAGAATATACTACTCCTACTGGTGTCTTTCCCCCCGTCCTCCCCTAAAGCGGGATTGGGTCGTGATTTTGTGGCGCTCTGAGTACATTCACACTGTTTAGACGCCACAACCTCGAGGACGCTGCGCAGGAATGCGCATCCTCCCACTTGGTTATGCCAGTTCGCCTTCGACTTCTTTCGAAAACAGGGCAACTTCATTGGAGCTCGAAAGCTCGTTAGGACAGATTTTAGGCAACAAAAAACTCCCGTACTCACTGGCTTGAATCGCAGACCTCCAGTAGTTGCACCAGGTGCTCAATCCCTAAACTGTCGCAGTGACAGAGGAAGAATGAAAAAATCTGTTAACGCCTGAAATCTTCCAGGCATGAATGCCACATCTCCTAGGTACAGCAGCCGGCGTAGACAAGGCCTGCCGTTTGGGTTGGTTTCTTCCGAAAGACTGTTGGATGCGGTAGCCGACAATAACTAGTTAGGGAAGCGAAATTGGTTGGATAACTTTAATTGCGAGACAGTAAAACCCTTTTAGAGATGTTCTAATCGATCATTCGCCGGCTGGTGAATCAGACGTGGTGTTGGATACTTGTTGTGTCCCCTCAACGTGATTGGTTGGCGTGAGGGCAAGGGGAACTGGCCAATGAGTGAGCGCCGCTTGATGTTTGCTATGGAGTGTGTGTAGCTCCTTTCGGTCGCTGAGTGACTGAATACCCAGCCTTTTCGAAAGAAGTCGAAGGCGAACTGGCATAACCAAGTGGGAGGATGCGCATTCCTGTGCAGCGTCCTCGAGGTTGTGGCGTCTAAACAGTGTGAATGTACTCAGAGCGCCACAAAATCACGACCAAATCCCGCTTTAGGGGAGGAAGGAAAACACACCAGTAGAAGTAGTATATGCTGTGCAGAAGCATGGTGGCTCTCATAGTCCCCGACGCGAGGCCGGCTGTAGGCCCGCACACATCAGTGCGCTAGGGTGACGTGGGCGTGAGTGAATAAGCGTCAGGTGAGGGTCAGTCAGTGTCAGCTCGGTCAGTTGATTGGGTGATAGTGGCGTTTGTGGGCGCCTGTGATTGACTCTCTGCGGGGCTGAATGTGCTCACGCTCTGGCGCTTCGAATTCGTTATCACATGACTCCTAGCGCGGCGTGGGTGCCAGAGGCAGGAGGCTTCACCTCGTTTGAGGCGCTACAAGATGCCGAATTCGAGCTTCGTTTAAATAGTCCCGCCGAATGAATTGTTAAAAGCCTCCTAAGGCCGTTTTCCAGTAACAAAAATAAACGATTGTCGTATCCCTGAAGTCCTGAGGGACATGTCCTCGGCGCCACATCTCCTGGAATAGTGTTTTAAGGTAATCTACCATCTGGGGGCCGCCGTGCTTGTAGACTTCTGCTGGAACCGCGTTGGATCCCGGTGTATTCCCGCTAGAGATTTGGTGCTGGGCGGGAATAGTTTCTGAGAGGAAATCTGCGAGCTCCAAGTCGTTGTTTGTTCCCGTTTGAGGAAGTCGATCGATTGCGGCGTCGGAGACTGTGGATGGACGGTTGAGGACACTTCTGAACTGCTCAGCCCAGCGTTTCAGAATCTGCTATCTCTCCGTGAGGGGTGTTGATCCATCGGATCTGAGAAGCGGTGCGGTTCCTTTGGTTGGGGACCGGAGACCACCTTGATTGATGGGAATGAGTTCTTTGTTTTATTTCCTCAGTCTTGCGAGACATCCGACTGTTCTGTAGTTCCCAAAGTCGGCGCTGCACAAGGTGGCGGCATATGAAGAAAACTGCTTTGTCTGCGTTGATCCGGTGGTCAACATGATTTTTTACAGCATGTTGTATTCGGTGAGCAGGTTGCTGATACCTGCGTCGTTGTCATCGAACCAGTTCTGGTGTTGACGACGTGCGCGTCCGAGGACGTCCGAGACGGTGGATTGGATGGCACTCTGCAGTCGACACTACCGAGTCTCCACGGTGGCCTTGTCGTCCGGCGCCGGCAGCTCTTTCAGGTGCCGGGCTAACTGATTGCCAAAAGCGGTGAGCAGGCAAATTCAACAGAACAGTATCTGACTTACCTAGTGGTCGCTTAACTTGTGGTCTCTTGCGCGGTTGCAGTCGGAGCTTCATCTTTGAGATGGCGAGATGGGAATTCGTCCAACCGTCAGCGTCGTAGATAGTCCTGATTGCTAGCACTTCCTTTAGACCTCGCCCTCAGAGGAGAACGTAGTACAGCAGCTGCCAGCGCCGCGATCCAGGATGCATCTACGTTGCTTTCACCCGCGTCGGAAGACGGATGGTGTTGGTCAGGAGTAGGCTATGTTCTGCCCAGGCTCGCAGAAGGAGAAGACCATTGTCGTTGCATTCGCCGATTCCGTGATGGCCCGGTCCTCCCCCTCAGGCAGCGTAGTTTGTCCCGACGCTGGCGCACAGAAGTCACCGCGGACAATCTGCTTGTCCGCCTTCGGCGCAGTCGCCAGGAGGCCATGCAGGTCCTCATAGAATTTGTTCTCCGCCATGTCGGAGCTGGTCATTGGGGGGGAAGGAGAAGTAGGCACTGAGGGTTGTGGCGAATTCGCTTCCTCAAGGAAACACACGCAGGGTATAAAGGTGATCGTTGACGCTCTAAGGCAGACAAGTCAGTCGTCCAACGATACCGTTATGGGTGGCAGAAGCGAGGCCTGAGTCACGTCTGTTTGCCTTTTGACGGCCACTCCAACATCCTCCAGTTAATCTTTTTCGGAGAAGCGGGAATCGCTGGGAGCAGCGATGCCCACCTCGTAGCGCGCCAGTTCCCGAGCCATTAGTGCCCTCCTCCGTTCCGGTCGGTTGCCTCTCGGATTTTCTGGAAGAGGACGAACATTCTAGACTATGGAAATTGGTGGACTCACACAGCAGCCTGTGGGTTGAGGCGGAGGAAGGAGGGACAAGGGTTGTTGTTGTTCTCTGTTAAGTTTAGACCGCGAATGTCTCATGTACGAACCACGATACATTTTCAGATGGCGTGATTTCCCAGCAGTTGTTTAGGGCATGTAGAATTCTTTGTAAATTGAGTTACGCGTAGAATCCAAAACAGACTTCGGTGTATATACGCCACTATTGATAGAATAAAGTAATTATGAAAAACGTACAAACCTCAACAATGGATACCCTAGACAAAGAATCCCTTTGTTACTGTTCGAGCAAATGGAATTCCCAGCTCAAGGTCAGAATACAAAACTAGTTAATTAGAAGAAAGCCGATCATGCTCCAAAGCGGGTAACAAAAGGGGGGAAGGAGAATGTCAACAGAGGCCAAATATGGAAGCCCTTACGAGGAGGGCGTGGAGAATTCCAATCGCTGACCAGCTGGATACAACAGGGCACCTTTCCCATCCCAATCTCGCAAGGGGGTAAACAGTGGTATCTTTGAACAGGGCTGCTTAGACATCCCAGGCGGCTGCCGAACTCCATTATGGGTCACGGCCTTGTTTAGCCGAGAGCGACCCGAGTTAGCCTGGGCTTGTGGATATCACGCGGTTATTCCGCAGTAAGTGTTTTATTTCAGCATGGAACGATGACAAAACGGAAATACTCATTTCTATCCTATAGTCGGTATGGATCTGTGAACGCCATTCTCACTCCAAACTGCATATTGTCAGTCTCAGTCGACAGATGCGGATAAATGGAGTTTCGAATAACACATGACTTACAGAACCTTCCAGGTTAAAAAAAATTTCTGGCTTTCTAGCACAAATTTTAAAACAGAGACGAAACCCATCCAAAAGACAGATGGAAGTTCATTCTTCTTAAACCTAACTAAGAAGAGTATCGAAGTCGTGAGATTTTCGCAAATGGCGAAGGCATGTAGAGACCAGGCTCTTCTTTAAAAGAGGAAGTCGACAAAGCCATGGTAACAAATGAGTGTTGACCACACACCCACCTTTGACTGAAAACGAGGACACGCCTTTCGACAGTGGTGGTGCAACATGGGATAGGTGGGAAGCAAATCGATGTACGGGGTTCCGACGCTGCTGTCAGATTTCCGGTCTACAGGTAGGCCTCGACCACACGCTTATCTTTTGCTTTCGTGACGCCGAGCTCATCCTCTGATTCCAGAGCGTCGGCACTGATTTGGAAAGAGTGACCATGTATAAACTAGAAGAAACGGGTGTCTGGAATTTCACAAGGGAGTTGTTGTATCAAAGGAGGACGAGAACCCACAAGGAAATTTAACGCAAAAGTAAAAAAACTACGAAATGACGCCTCATGCACAGGCATGGCGGAAAATGCTCGCCAATGAAAAGTGTACTATCCGAGCTTCTGAGAACTGATCATTCAAGTCACCTTCTGAGGACGGCACCACGCGCACTGGGGACAAATTTCAAATCTTCGGATTTGAGGCATATAACTGCCCAAACTACAGATTTGAGACAGGTTATCAATAGCTGGGAAGCAGACGGAAGTCTCACTTAAAACACGCATTTCCGAGTCTGCGCAGCGAAATTCTCCTTCGTCATTTTTTTCTTTCAAATTTGATCCTTATTTGAAATTTGTAAAGTCCAAACTTCCCATCGTATTGACATATCCGTCTAAAGGTAACTTATTTCGTGGGGATGGGTGCACACTTTAGGACTGTCAGCCTTGGCTACCGATAAAAAAGGCATGCTTGTGCTGTACTCTGCGACTAGTTCTATAAAAAAAGTCGTGTAAAAATGAACAACAAATAAGTGCCTCGACGCGTAGGCCCATAATATCGGCAAGTTTGTCGACATCGTAAATTTGTCGAAAGCAGCGCGAAGAAGGAGCTTATCTTTCCGCTACTTTCGTTCATCTTCACCGTCGCGTAGCAATTTACCAACTCTCTTCTTCATTTACAAAAGGATCAATTATCTTCCCCAAATATAGACAGTGGAGCTCTTGTGAGTCAAATCGGACGGACGTTTCGAATCTAAAGCTCATACAGGTGATCGTGTTTCGACGGACAATCGAATATCCAGAAATGTAGCCGAAAAGTGCAAAGGTAAACAGAATAATCGGTCGCTGAATGTCCCTCACATATGACTGCATTTTTCCGACCGCAGCCAGCAAGACGTGGGCGAGTGACCCAGGGGGGTAGAACATCTCACTTAAGTTCTGGATGATTGCTGGCCCGAGCTGAAATCTCTGATCTCTGGTCTGATGTTGGCGAATAGCTAACTGACGACGTATGACGGAAATGGGGATTTAAGTTTTGCCTTGGAGTTCGGTGCCCAGAGCACTCGTAGACGGTTGCATAGCGAAAAAAGACGATTGGGATTCCAGCTTATGACCACTATGCCATCATGAAGCAGTCATATCCCAACCCTATGTTCTGAATGACATGTGATTCGAATCAGAGTTATTTGACACCGAAATTTCTATGGCGACTGTTGGCTAATAACGATAAGTAAACAGCAATGTCAATTACAGTTCCCCCTACCTTTGTCAATAAGACTTATTGGCAGAAACCGCCCCGTTATTTACACTCCACTTATAGGCGCTGATCTGCTGTTAAGTTCAATGAACTCAGGAATGCTTGACTCATCTATTCTGCATAGGGAGTGAGAGCTTGTATCGAAGTCTTTGAACCTTTGAATATTAATTTTACATAACTATTGGTCTTTTTCCCGCCTTTCGTAGACAGGCCGATGCTTATAATTTATGGCCGGGGTGCATGATTGTAGTAATGACTGTTGTGTTCGCAACAAGGCTCCCTCGGTCAAAGTCGTCTAAAAGCTCAGTTTTTTCGAAAGATTTGCCAGAATGAGTTCGATAAGGCGTTTAACGCATGAGGTGGCCTGAATAGTCTACTGACAAGGCACTTTTGCGGGCGAGGTTTAGTTCTGCAGCCCCACTTGATCTATACAATATGGTTAGCTTACTGACACCTTATTCGTTAACATACCTAACTTAGCCACTCGCTGAATTAGGAAGGGGAGGCAGCGCAAGTGGAGCTCGGAGCACGCGCAGGGAAGCAAGTGAGGATGGTGTGTACACTCCCCCGACACAGCCACTCGCTGGACTAAGAGGATAAGGAGGGCGTAATCAGGACTGGAAGGCGACAATGGGAACCGCGTGGTAATTCGCAGTACATGGCCACTGTGGTGGGACTGAGGGAGTTCCACACCGTTCGAACAATTCCATATGCAAGTCTACCCGGCCACTCGCTGGATTAGGATAATAAAAAGGACGAACTCAGGACTCAAAGCACGCGCAGTGAAGCGCGTGTGAACTAATATCTGATGTAAACGAGGATGGCGTATAAGTGCTTCTCCCTTCCGTGACACAACTACTCGGTGGATTAAAATGGTACGGAAGGTACAAACACGTTATATTTGTAAAGTCAGCGTGCTCGCATCTGCTTAATTCGTTTTAGGAAGCTAGCCATATGTTATCAATCAAGTAGGGCTGCAGAACAAAACCTCGCCGATTAAAATTGTAGGGAAGATGCAAATATGCAATATTTGTAAAGTCAACTTACTCGCGGTTAATAACATTTTTAGAAAGCTAACCATGTGATATTGCCTTGGACATCACAGTATCACTCCGGTTGGGCTGCAGGGTAACAATCGGGAGATGGCACCCAAAAACCCACCTAACCAAAGCAGCCTGTCTTACCGGACAGATAGTAATAGGGGTTTTATGGGTGGTGGCTGGTCGGGATGTACGATACTAGCCGACAGAAAGCCTTATTTGAACAGGTGAATGATCGAAGTTGGCCCGCTCTCCGTTCCGTTATAACAAAATGGGTCGCCAGAGGCAGTATTGTGGTAACGGACGAGTGGAAGGCGTATAATCGTCTTCCCTCAGAAGGTTATCTACATTTCTCTGTTAACCATTCAAAAAACTTCAAGGACCCTACCACCGGACGGCACACCAATGCCATTGGAGTAGACTGAAAAGGAAACTCCACGAGGGAGGCCCTATATGTGATCGAGCTGTGTGGGCTCACATAAAAGAAGTACAGTATCGTCTTTGGTTTGGCCTCAATGCCATGTCTTTGACAGATGCCTGGGAACTGTTCCTGTCCCATGTTGTGCAGACTTATCCTATTTAAAAGTGATTTTGTTTTGTAATAAACTACCATAGTGCGAACGTATTCCGTATATTCAGGTGTACGTGTGTAACGATGGGAAGTCCAAGTTATGCGTGAAAGTAGGCCTGTAACCGCTGATATAGCCTGAAGGCGTTTGAGTCCACTGTTAAAGGTATTATTTCTAGGTAACGGATTTTTTGGGTGCCATCTCCCGATTGTTACCGGCCGCAGGACCAAACCTCGCCCTTTTACTTAACAAAACTACGGGGATAGGCAAGGCGCACAGCCAGAATGCCTGTCTACAGACACAAGGGAAACTCTCGAAGGTGTGTTGAATGAGGCTTCGTGCCGTAAAACCTGTGCTTGCTCCTTCGTCAGTTCCTTTGACGACAGGTTGTGTACCAGTGTGCCTCTACTTACGCGCACAAGGGAAACTCTTCCTCAGACAGTACGTAACGGAGCGAACACACGTCCTGGCCTTGCCAGCGACCACCTTTGT